CCTCTTCTGAATCCAGCTTGAACCTCGGGAAGTTCTCTGTGAATGTATGCTTGCAGCCGTTTCTGTATTATCTTTAGTAAAACTTTACTCGCATGGGATATCAAAGATATTGGTCAATGATTTCTGCATTCCATTGGGTCACCTCCCTTTGGAATGGGCATAAATATGGATCTCTTCCAATCAGTCAGCCAAATAGTTGTCTTCCAAATTTCTTGGCAGAGATGAGTGAGTGCCTTCTGTGCTGCCTCACTTTCTTGAAAGATTTTAATTTTTATTCCATCAATTCTAGGTGCCTTGTTCTTTGTCAATTCCTTCAGTGCACCTTGAACTTCTTCCTTCAGTATCATTGGCTCTTGGATCATATGCTACCTCTTGAAACAGCTGAACATCAACTATTTCCTTTTGGTACAGTGACTCTGTGTATTCCTTCCATCTTCTTTAGATGCTTTCTGCATCGTTCAATAAATTCCCCAGAGAATCCTTCAATAGTGAAGGTCGAGGCTTGAACTTTTTCTTCAGCTTCCCCAGCTTGAGAAATGCTGAGTGTGTTCCTTTTTGGTTTTCTGATTCCGGATCTTTGCACATTTTGTTGTATTATTTGACTTTGTCTTCTCGAACTGACCTTTGAAATTTTCTGTCCAACTCTTGTACCTCCTCATTTCTTCCATTTGCTTTAGCATCTCTGTGCTGGAGAGCAAGTTTCAGTGTCTCTTCTGACATCCACTTTGATCTTTTCTTTCTTTCTTGTCTTCTTAATGACTTTTTGTTTTCTTCCTGTATGATGTTCTCGAAGCCATCCCACAACTCTTCTGGTCTTCGGTCTTTAGTGTTTAATATTTCAAATCTGTTCTTCAGATGATCTCTAAATTCAGGTGGGATATATTCAAGGTCATATTTTGGCTCTCATGGAATTGTTTTAATTTTCTTCAGCTTAAGTTCAAATTTGTGTATGAGCAACTGATGGTCTGTTCCACAATCTGCCCTGGCCTTGTTTTGACTGATGATGTAGAGCTTTTCTATTGTCTCTTTCCACAGATGTAGTAAATTTGATTTGTGTGTATTCCAACTGGTGTGGTCCATGTGTTTAATCATCTTATGCTGTCTAAAGGAGGTATTTGAAATGAACAAATCATTGATTTTGCAGAATTCTATCATGTGATCTCCAGCATCAATTCTATCACCAAGGCCACATTTTCCAAATATTGATCCTTCCTCTGTGTTCCCAATCTTTGCATTCAATCACCAGTAATGATCACTACATCTTAACTGCATGTTTGATCAATT